CCGGGGTGAGGTTTCCAAGGGATTTCAAACCCTCTCTTCCCTGTTGATGAAAGTTTCACGTTTTGATTTGTCTCAGGGAAAGAAAAGCAGTGAGCTGAGTTCATCTCCGTCTATTATCAAAAGTTTCCTGCAGCTCGGAATGAATGTAAGGGGAGATGTATCACAAATGACTATGGTTGAAATGCTGGTGCATTCTGGGTAGAGAGAGGGGACCTGTGGAAAGTATGTGGTATGGGATAACAAGTACCTGACATTAGCTTCCCTCTCCCAAAAGTTTCAGCGGGAAGCACAGTCATCGCTGGTCTAATTCCTCTCTAAAAATAAGCCTATTATTCACGTAGGAAGAGCAGTCTGCAGTTTATTTTCAGACATGGAACACCCAGCTACTGTCCTCACATTGCATCGGTATTCAGATGCTCCTGTCTTTTAAATGCCTTTTTAGTATTTCTTAATGAGCATTGTTCTCCTTCTCCAAGATCCAGCAGATGCCTCGCATGTTAAAGGGTCCTTTGGCACAGGAGAGTCTCAGCAGCCAGGCATGGCTGTGAATCTACAGTGATAGCATGATGGTCTAGTGTGTTTTTACAGTTTTTTTTCCTTTGTGTAAAAAGTTGTAGTCCAACCCAATCTTTAGGTTCAAGTTTTCTGAGCCTGCTTTGCACACATCCCACCCTGCCTGGAGAGCTAAGTGATCGGTGCCAGGAACAATGGTCAATGGTGAGGGTGGGCGGTGCCAGGAACAATGGTGATTGTGGGCAGCTGACCGTTTTCCCGGCCTCCCACTGAACTTCCCCAGCTGCGTGTGGCACTGCAGGGGATGAGTTTTGTTTCACCTGCATGTCCCATCTCCACCTCCAGAGAAACAGCATCCAGATGCTCAGAGTCAAGAACCGCCTTCGGAGGAGCTGGGAAAATGAGCAGCTGAGAAAAATGTAAGAAGGTTATTTCTGGAGCCAGCAGCATCTCCACATAGTGTCCCCCTACCTCATCCTCCACTCAGTGAGGCCCTTCGGAGAAGCTGATAGGGAAAGCCAGCCAGTGACACAGCTCATCACCAAAACCCCAGATAAAGGCTCACCTGGGATTTTCCCAGCGCACCGTTACTCAGTGTGCGCGGGTCAGAGGCCTCTGAGGGTGTTCACAGGCTCCGCTGAAATCAGGACTTCAGAGCTGGACGAGCAAAAGCCGATACCATGCAGTCACTCTTTCAGCCTGGTAAACAGTGCTTGCGGGCTCTGTCTGCCCTGGGAAACACTCGAGGTTCGCTTAGGCCACTTACACCTCGAGTCAAGATGTAGAGAGAGATTCATCTGGAGAGATGACACAGACAGAGAACTGGCATCAGATAGAAGAGCATGGGGCCGAATATCGGGAAAGACCTATTGCAAATTAACTAAATAAACTGTGGCAAACGAGCTTTCCAATCCCCCTGAACACGTCCCAGGAGGAAACGGCAAAGGATCTTCTTTGGGATCAGATAGAAGGGCAGCCGCGGCGCGGCAGTGTGATACAGTGCAGGGACTTCTTCACTGCAGAGTCTAATGTGTTTTCTCAGAGATTGCCTCTTGCACGGGCTCCGCATCCTAATGAAGGAGAAGCAATTATCCCTCGTTCACAGATGAAGAAGCCAGAGCACGGGAGGGTAATGACTTCCCTGCTATCTGAAGGCTCTTACAGAGTCTCAGGACCAGAGTCCGCGTACTGCGGTTCTCAGTTTAATGCTTCTGGTCATTAGACTGCAATGTTCCCTGACCTTGGTCCTGACACAGTCCCTGAGTGTGTTGTTAATGTGCCTGGTAGAACCTTCCCTGAAGACCCCACAAGCAGCCATGCTGTTTGGCATTTTGGTACAAAAGACAGAGGAGGAGTATTTTCCTGTTTTTTAAGAGCCGAATCTTCCCATCTCAAAGTAGGTCAACAAAAGTATGTAATTTGCCAACATAGGAAGCATTTCAAATCGCCCACTGTGGACTTGAACTCTGAATTCTGAAAGAACTTTTTTACATTGGCCTAGTTCAGTGTTATTTCCCCAAATGGTTACAAGGCCCATTGTCTAAAATTGGGTTGATATTGTGCCAGGTCTACAGCAAACATGAAACAAACTTCCTTTCATCTGAAATGTTCAGACACTGAGTAGCTTAGAGCTGTGGTTATTTTGCATGTATTACATAATATTCGGGATGAGCACCGACTGATCCAAATGGATCGTATTAATAAAATACAGAGATTTGTCAAATCTCAGGACCAAAGGTCCTTAGAGGTAAAGAATGTCAATGCTACCCCTAAGACTGATCCTATAATATAATCATCCAGGAGATTTTTTAAAGATATTTATATTTATTTCAGAGAGGAAGGGAGAGAGAGAGATAGAAACATCAATGATGGGAGAGAATCATTGATCAGCTGCCTCCTGCACACCCCACATAGGGGATCAGCCCGTAACCCTGACCTGTGCCCTGACCAGGAATTGAGCCATGGCCTCCTGGTTCATAGGTCGACACTCAACCACTGAGCCATTCTAGCTGGGCTAGGGGATTTTTAATAACATTTCCAGGACCTCATCCTACACAAATGAAATTTAGTCTGGGGTATAGAGATGATATCAGAATTTCTGTTGTAAGTTTTTCAGGTGATTTAATATCCAGGCAGGTTTGAAAGACAAGTATTTATAGGAACTCTGGCAAATTGAGAGAGAAGAGGAACAATCATTTTCTGGGAGAAATCCCAGTATCCTAGGGACTAGGAAAGTATAAACTGGCTCTCCAGCAACTACCACTCCTGGAGGGAGGACCCTCAGAGGTCTCAGACCATCAGAGTTCAGAGGTGGCATCCTCAATCCCAGAGTCCTAGCATGGAAAACTGAAATGTTCACTTATAGTGGAGTAGCTAGCTCCATGATAAAATATGTCTACTTGTGTTTTTCACAGCATTACAGACCAATACAACATTATTCAAATAAATTTATTGAAAAGAAGCCAAAAGGACATGTAGAGTATGCAGTTTCAACATCATCATGTAGCCCTGGATGCTGAAAAAGTTCCTAATTCAGTATGAACTGATGATTAACTTAAGTTATATTCACTGATGAATAACTTAAATTATATTCATGCATGGTGGGGCAAAAATAGATATACAGTTGTTCATATGGGAAATAATACAATAATCCTATCTAATAGAGAGGGGATATGGTAATTGACCCTCACACCATTGCAAAGATGGAGGCAGCCACAGCTAATAAGGAAGGAATATGCTAATTGACTGCCCCACTCTCAAAGATGGTAGTGCCCACAGCCAAAAGGGAGGGAATATGCTAATTGACTGTCACACCCTCAAATATGTCCAGTCCCCTCAGCGGGCCCAGGTGCTCTGCACGCCGGCCTACAGAGTCCCCCAGTCCCCTCAGCCCCTCAGCTTCCCAGGGCTGGCCTGAGGCACCAGCAATCCTCAGATGGCGGCTGCCCAGCTGCCCAGGGACACCCAAGGCTCTGATAGCCAGGGCTGGCCAAGGCTTGCACTGTCGGCAGTGGCAGCAGCAGAGGTGTGATTACCTTACCCTGATCACCAGTTTGCCTCCCCCCAACCTCCCAAGGGCTCATGGACTGTGAGAAGGGCAGGCCAGGCTGAGGGACTCCTCTCCAGTGCATGAATTGTCCTGCACTGGGCCTCTAGTAAATAATAATACAAGAATAAACTGTTTTGGGTAATCATAACAGTAAATCTACATTGTCCTACCCTGTTATATACAGAAATACTTGTAGGTGAGTGAATATACAGGCACCTGCATTCTTGTTCCGGCCGCTGAGAGGTCTTAGAAGCAGTAATATCCAAGTTTAATGAGTGCTCCTGGCACCAAACTTTTGTAGAGCCAGCAAGTATTAAAAACAAACAAACTCTAAAATAAAGCTGCAGGAGAAATATGTCAGAGACACAAAAGCCAAATGAAAGAGCTTTCTATGTCCCAAGCCAGAATGATTTGAGCAACAACATCCATAAAATGGTATTAAATTATAACCGAAAATACAAACAAAAAAAAAAAAAAATCACGAGCCCCTGAGTAATAAATAAATAATGGACAGATAAGTAAAGAGAGGAAGAGAGACACATTCCCAATACTTGAGATAGATGCTCTGCTTCCAAAGAAGAGAGGTAGGGCAGCCCCCCTCCTTACGGTCGGGCTGTGCAAGTGACTATTATAAAGAATTCTGTACAGACAGGAGGGGAAGGGAAGGTTGCAGGGGGTAAACTGACAAGCACTGCCTGTGTGGTGGGGTGAGGAATAAGAAGTCATATGGACATAATGTGAGGGAAACGGCCACGTGCCTCTGTGGTCTTGCTCCCAGAAACCTATCTCCCCAGTCTAATCTTAAGCAAATATCACACAAATCCCAGCTGAAGGAGACTCTACAAAAGGCCTGACAAAATACCTGTACAATGACCAAGGTCATCATCACAAACAATCCAAGTCTGAAACACTGTTAGAACCAAGAGGAACCTGAGGGAACTTGGCCAGTAAATGTAATAAGAACCCTGGAGAGGATCCTGGGGCACAAAAAAGGGACATTAGGTGATAACTAAGGAAATCTGTATCCAGTATAAATGCTCACTAATAATGTGATAGTCCATTGTTCCTTAGTGGTGACAAAGGTGCCATCCTAATGATAGGATCATATCAGGATCAGCTGAGCATGGGATAGATGAGAACACTTGTACTGCTTTAAGGGATCCTATAAACCTAAAACAGTTCTAAAATAATAAGTGTATTTACAAAGCAATTCCTCTTCCCTTAGGAAAGACAGATTATGGACCTGTCCACTGTTCTTGCACACCATTGTCCGTGATTCCTCACTATCCTAGAAAGTAAAGATCACCGTGGTTGCTTTGGAGTTGCCTTGATATTATCAACAATTTGAAAACCCAACCATGGAGAAATTTCTGTGAATTAAGTCCAGAGCCGGCCATTACAAATATTATCTGTGCCCTAACGGTTTCACATTACTGAGATGAGTTCCATGTTCTATGGAGCAAAATTCGGGTTTTCAAGATAGAAAATCTCTAAGCATGGTTCTCCCACGAGTAATGAAGCCTGTGTTATTTCACGGTCCCTGCTTCTGCCGAGCTATTTTTCTCCTGGATATTTTCATAGATTTTTTTTTTCTAACGGTGGCTGCTGTTCAAACTTACATAATAGAATTGTCACACTTTATAAACTGTGTTGAATATTCTAATCTCTCTCATTTGAAGAGGTCCTCTATTTCATGCCCAACTAGCTTTGAGGTCCTCCCGAGGTAATCAGGCAGTGGTTGGCACCTGGCATGTAACAGCCGCGGCCGTGCGGAGAGTCCATAAATCCAATCTCTGTGTAAGAGCCACGGGAAGCAGAGCCTTCCCGCTTACATCCCTGGCAGGCTGCTCTGTCGGACTCCGAGGCTGGCCCCGATAAACCGGATTTGAGGGGAAAGCTTCTGTTGTTGATTGCATCCTACCTTGTGACTTAGATGTCAATTCCAACAACTGATTTCTCCAGAGCAAGGGTAGAGGCTGGATTTTTCAGGCCATTCTCTTATTGCGTTGATGCTATTTTAGTGGTTCAGTTACCTCAGTAGTTTGTAATCACAACCCCTGCAGCCTTAGGGAGACCATTGTGCTGATCCCATGGGACAAATGGTCTACCCTGAGAATCCCGTCCACACTGCTATTCCTGCTGCACCTCAGGTGGCTGGGTTGCTGATGCCCATTCTTAACGAGTCACAACTGGGAATTCCGTCTGACGGAGAGAGATTGCACGCATTTACAGCAGAGGCCGTTCCCCACAAGGTGCTGCTGTTTAACTCAGCCTGACGGAGGTCTTCCCAGGTCCTCCTGAGAAGTAGGAACAGACTCCACCTCACTGTTACCGTGAACGTCATCGATACCGCTCACCTGACGCCTGTGGTCTTCCCCCAGAGCGCTGCAGGTAGATACGTATGCCTTTTGAAAACTTTATTTCTGCTTTATCAGAGCCATACATCTTCCCTTATCAGCATCAAAGCATGACAACAGGAAAGAAAAACGTCCTCATGCTCGCCTCTGCCTCTCCTATTTCTTCTTATTTTTTTTAATATATTTTATTGATTTTTCTTACAGAGAGGAAAGGAGAGAGATAGAGAGCTAGAAACGTCGATGAGAGAGAAACATCGACCAGCTGCCTCTTGCACCCCCCCTTCTAGAGATGTGCCTGCAACCAATGTACCTGCCCTTGACTGGAATCGAACCCGGGACCTTTCAGTCTGCAGACAGATGCTCTACCGCTGAGCCAAACCGGTTTCTGCTGCCTCTCCTATTTCTTGATGGGAGAGGCGATACAGCATCACCAAGGAACCCAGAAAACAACAAGCAAAAGTTGTCTGGGAAATAAATGAAAAGAAACATAGCTAATACACATAGATGTATGTATATATGGATACACTAATGTGTATGCTCATAGCTAATACAGATGAATGTGTGTATGTAAGTTCCTGAGCCACTGAGAATTCACATAAAGCAAGCACTTAATTTTCTATTTTCTTATTTTATTTTCAACATGTCCGTTTAAACTTAATGATGAGGATGCATTTTAAATGAAAGGATGACTAGAAGAAAAATTCCAAACTGCAAAAAATAAATGCATGTATATATTGGCTAACTCCTCATAAAAATAATAATAAAAAAAAAATAAAAAAGTGGTTTTACTCTGAAAGCAGCAGAATTCCTAATCAACATTTTCCAATTTTTTAATTTTTTTTTACTCCTGCCTGGCCAGTGTGACTCAGTGGTTGACCATCAACCTATGAACAGGAGGTCATGGTTCAAATCCCAGTGAGGGCACATCCCAAGTAGGGAGCACGCAGAAGGCAACCAATCGATGATTCTCTCCCATCGATGTTTCTATCTCTCTCCATTTCTCTCTGAAATAAAAAGATATTTAAAGATATGTATTTTTATTCCTTTATTAAACTCAGTCCTTATCCCATCATGATCACAAATCATGTAGGTAAAAATCAACTCTCCTCTACACTTACTTGGGACTCCATTTGTATAGATCACCTACTTTTGTTCATTTAAATAATTAATAGGATATCTAATCTACACAAAGCATAGCAACAATCTCAAGTTAGAATTCATTTTTAATAAATTCTATTTATGTGCTAAGAGTCACCTCACTAACACTAATAAAAGCTAAAATATTTATGTTTGTCAATGACTTAAACAGTAATTAGTTCATATTTATCTGAATGCAGGACAATTATTTTTGTATCTGTCAGCATTCTTTAGCATTAAGTGAAAAGATGCAATTTTTAGTTAAAAGTATTTTCAAGGTCCATTTTTAAAAATCTACTTGCTGTATATATCTCATGACAAAATAAATAGCACAGGTTTTCATATAAGACAACATAGTTTCAAAATCAAGCACAAGGACCACCTAGGTTTTTATTAGTATAGAAGTTGAAATTAAATGGGAAACCAAATATAAAAATAAAATGTAAACTATAAAATACTATGGAAAACTGATTTTTTATATGTATTCAAAAGAAAGAAACATTTATAGATACTGTGATATTGAAGTGAGAGGACATACTTGGTATTTTCCCAAAAATGTTAGGTAAGATAAGGAAATGGTTTATAAAATAAAAATGCTTTTCAAAAATTTCAGGTAGGATAAGGAAATGGTTTACAAAATAAAAAATTTCCCAAAAATTTCAGGTAAGATAAGGAAATGGTTTATAAAATAAAAATGCTTTTCATGTAATTGGGCTTATGTGCCGGATACTTTATGAGAAGACTGATCTATAAGCATCAATAATGTCCAGGTTGGGTCTACTCTGTGTTCCTTTATATCTTCCCTGAACATCACAGAAAAATAATCCCAGCATGCTTGAAGCATGAGCAGAGGGAAATGAGTAGAGGGAAATGAGCCATTGTAAGTACCTGGAGCATCTGTCTTCTTAACAAGACCTGCCCTCCAGGAAACTCTCATACCTGAGTGCTAAATTGCAGTGATGGTCAGGAGGGAGGAACCCACCTGCAGAAAGAGAGACACAAATCCCAGAGCACACTGCTGTCCTTCCCACCAGAGGGGTGGCAGGAGGGAGCTGAGAAGCATTGGGGAAGTTCACAGCCCCAGCCACAGGCCCCGGAGACTGAGTCTTCCCCTCCAATGAAAGGACTGTGCCCTCTCCTACATTGTGCTCCCAGCCATGTTATGAAGGGCTCATCTATTGATGCTCCTTGGACCCAGCATGGAATGTCCATGACACACAGCACATTGCCATGCAAAAGGGCTACAAACCCTGTTTGCAAATCCAGAATAAGCACCAGAATGGCAGCAATGATACAAGGGCCGGGAGGGAGGAATTAAGACTATTTTGTTGTTATAAGGTCTTTGCACTGCCTCTGAAGCAACATAGAGCTGCTTAAAATTGGATGTTAACTACCTATATATTGCAAACTCTAGTACAACCACCAAAAGAAGTTTTCTTTTTCTTTTCTTTTTTGGGGGGGAGGGGGGTCCCGAGGAGTACAATTGATATTTTGAGAAAGAAGAGGAAATACAATCACATAAAAAGCTCAATTCAAACCACAGAAGGCAGGAAAAGTATGAAAGACAGAAACAGGAACAAAGAACAAGGGCAACAAGTGGAAAACAGTGATAAATATGGTAGATATTAATTCAACTACATCAACAATCACCTCACATGACAATGGTTAAATACACCCATGAAAAGGTGGGGGTTGTCAAATGGATCAAGAGACATGACCCGCCGAAACCGGTTTGGCTCAGTGGATAGAGAGTTGGTCTGCGGATTCAAGGGTCCCGGGTTCGATTCCAGTCAAGGGCATGTGCCTTGGTTGCATCTCTAGTAGGGGGTGCGCAAGAGGCAACTGATGGATGATTCTCTATCATCGATGTTTCTAGCTCTCTGTCCCTCTCTCTTCCTCTCTGTGAAAAATCAATAAAATATGTTTAAAAAAGAGAGAGAGACAGGACCCCAGGACATGTCTCCAAGTACCCTGCTTTCCATAAAAGACACATGAGGATTAAACAGAAAGGACTGGAGGAAGACATGCCGTATTAACACTAATGAAAAGAAAGCAGGGTTACCTGCATTAATGTCAGACAGAGCAGTCTGCAGAGCAGAGAAAGTTATCAGGAACAGAGGGGAGAAGTTATTAGGAATATTATAAAATGACAAAAGGGCCAACATTCTAAAACGACATCACACTCTTTGATGCCATTGCGCCTGCCAGCAGAGTGTGAAAACACAGGAGGCAAAACCTGTTGCTAGAACTGCAAGAACAAACAGATTAATGCACCAGTCCAGTAGAAGACTTTAAAACTTCTATCAGAAAGGGATAGTTCCAACAGGGAGAAAATTAGTAGGGTCCTAGTAGAACTCAACATCGCCATCAATTAATTGCTAAAATGAACACTGATAAACGAAATCTATAAAATGAAGGCCAGGTGAAAAGATAATCTTACCTATCCCCATCTATTAAATTCCAGAAACTAATAATCTGAAATAGAACCTGTATGGATATGAAAGAAACTATTCAGAAAAGTTATGGACGACTAAAGAGCAAAAAATACACAGCATGATCCAGCTGCTAAATCAATCGAGTCCTAGATTCATGTAGATTGCTCTGTTCGAAGCAAGTGTGCATTGATAGGCAACAGAACTGGGTCAGGTGGCGAGGTTAGCCTGGTTGGTGATTTTGGGCAAAATAACGGGTTTAGCAAGGTTGGCTCAGGCTCAGATAGGAAACTCCCCTCCCCCCTTCTCCTAAAACAGGCGAGATGAAATTCCATAAGAATGTTTTCCATCTTTCAAAGACGGTTACCATATATTCCAGCCTCTGATACTTATTTGGCATAAATAGGGTAGTTGTTATTTTCAGCATTTTCCACAAAGTTTTGGAAATAATAACCTGGTTGGTATGTCCAGCGCTGGTTTTTGTCCTTCGGTAAATCTCATTCAGCCTCAGCCTCCTCTCCTGAACCCTTACATTGGATTAACTGTAGCTACCATTGTGTGATTGATATGAGGACTCAAAAAAGAAAAAAAACACAATAAAAAATCACAGCTATTAAAATTGCTCAGCAATAGGGCAATATACCATGGTATAATATAAAAAAAAAAAAAGGCCTGGGGTTGGGGCCAGAGTCCCAAGTTCACACCCCAGTTCTTTCCCTTCCTAATGCATCACTTTAGGGAAGCAGCTTAATTTCCCCTGGCATCATGCATAAAACCATAGAATGGCGTTAACTATGGCACACAATGGCTGTGAACTTAAAACCAAATTCCCTAAAATCTGAGAGAGGGGGGCAGTGCTCTGTAGGGACCCCCAGGACTACATTGGGCCCACCTGGCAGCCCAAGATCACCCAAGATCACCTCCCTCATTAAGGTCAGGTGATGAGCTAACCTCATTCCACCTGCTACCTCTGCCGCTCAGCCCCGCCTCCTACCCCATCCAAGGGTTCTACGTGTTCGAACATGGACGTCTCTGAGGCTGTATCCACAACAGCAGCACCTCTGAGGTAGGTCCGGCTATTCTTACTTATAAGGAAGCTGTATGTTCATGTTTTGTTTTAGGATAAGGCTCTCTGTATGTATTGATATTTAGGTCCTTCATATGCTTTTCACTCAGAGCCGGACCCACAGAAAGATCCCAATGACCGACCATCACAAAGGGCTCTCTGGTATGTGTTGCTTAAAATGTTAAAACACAAAAGCACGGAGTCCCACTTTGGCTGAACAAAAGCCTACATTTTATTGTCACGTGATAATAGTATTTATGCTAATTCACCCACCATTCTTTGAAGAAAACTAAAATGCCAGACTTTTTATTCCATCTATTTTGAAGGAGACCATATCCTTTCTAGGCAAGTCTGGAGTCCATCGTAACTTGTCATCTTAATGTTTTATGGTAGGAAGAGCATGCAAGTTGGAGTGAAGCAGGTGTATGTTTGAAACATGTCTACGCATTCCCAGAAGGCAGCTTTGGGGAAGTTAGGCACAGCAACCTCACGCTATAGAGATAATTCCTTCTCGGTAGCAATGTCGTGACAAATGAGACATTCTGGATATAAAGCACCCACCACAATGATTGACGTAATTGCCCACTTGGCCTGCACTCACTTGCGATGCACACCTGGACCAGTACATTTAGTGTGTGGGTCTGCCGTTGGTCAGCATGGGTCCCAGAATAAATACCTTGGCTTTTGGGTCCTCAATTTCTTTATCGGTGAAAGAGGACTTAAATAATTATTTTCTCTGAGGATTAAATGTAATCCTGAATATGGAAGCACTTGTAAACTATTAAGAGACATCGTTAATATTACTCTGGAGCCACTGTTGTTTGTTGTTGTTTTTTTTAATATGTTTTTATTGATTTCAGAGAGGAAGGGAGAGG